ATGAGGACGGGCTTTGCACTGGACGTCTAGGCGACTTGATGGGGCTCTTTCAGGATTTTTAGAAAGCGCAAATAGTCGCACCGGCACAGCAAAGGAAAATCAGCTTGGATTTTGCGCACCACAGCGATTTTGAGTTGAGATTGTTTATTATTGTTATAGTCATTAATAATATTATTATGTGCTCTGGAAATCATCAGCTGTGGGTGAAATCACGCTAGGAACATTTTTGATTTGAATTCATTTTCTTGGATTTGGTTTCTGAAGAATGTACGTACTTGATGGTAATTACCCGGAAAGGATGGAGCGGGGTACGCCACAAAGAAAAACCGTATACAGGATATCTTTGACACTAGTGAAAAAAGAAACTCTGCAGGATGGCGGAGGCTCAGCGCACCGGCGGCTGGAGAATCCTAAAGTGACCGCGTACCGGCGGGAGGGAGCCGCTGACGCTCAGCGCAGCTCTCCGCTGGAAGAACTGAAAGAAGTGGAGGACGAGACGGACGAATTTTCTGCACACTCATACATGAGAAACTTCAGGACATTCAGTACTGGACATCTAGAGTTGGGCAGGTTGAAAATCTCAAGGCGGGCGCAGCATTTACACAAAGACAAGGAATTAAATGAAACGTGCATCCTGCCAGAGAATGGACAGAGCAAGGTCACTGACAAAAAGCCAGAAGATGTAGCTGAAAGTGACAGATTGAAAAGTGATGCTGAGCGTGGAGAAATCTGCAGTACAGCTGCTGCTAATGGAGAAAACACAGGCATTCGAAAGAAAATCCTCAAGGCTTCTCGGAGCACAGAGGAACCGGTCAGTACATGGTCAGATGAGACCTCCGAGGAACCCAAGTATGTTAGGACGGCCAAAGAGAGCTGCATCTCTTCTTTGTTGGCGAAAGGGAATGGGAAGTCACCCAAACCAGCACCTGAAACCCCTCCAGCGAAGAGGCACCCAAGCCTGCTGCGGCGAAGTTTCAGCTTTCGCCACTGGACGGGTGGAGAGTTGATCCGCATACGGGCGCTTTCCAAGGAGAAGCACCACAGCAGCTCTGGCTGCATTGGCCACGATGGAGAGAACAGTCAAGCCCAAGCTGGCGTGGTTCTGCAAAACATGGCTTTTGCTAAGTCTGAGTCCACTGAGAAGCGAAAAACCTTGGATGTGGGTGAGGTCCTAAGCAAAACTGACTCTGGGACTGAACTGGGCCGCAGGGAGAGGATGAAGGGCAAGAATCGAACGCTGGACAACAGTGACCTGCTCAAGCTGTCGGATAAATCTTTGATGGACAAGGAGGGTTTCATTAGAGGGACAGGCTCCCGTTCCAGTGGGCAGGAACGTAAACTCATTCGGTTCTTCAGTGGTATCTTCTCAAAGCGAGATGGGATGTCCACGCCGCTTAGCAGTCCCAGCAACCGTGCTCTCCGGAAGAACGGCCTACTGGGAAGTCAGCGGAGATCAGAAATGAGCTACTCGCAGTCCAGCACCGAAAGTGTTAACGGATGCCAACCGGACGGTAATAGCTGTTATCTTTGCTCTATTTTTTGGCTTCATGTAGATATGTTATTAGGCAGGAGGATGCTCTGTTTGCTATTGTGGACTTAGAGCGGGGGTTAGAGGATGCATGTTTGTTTTGGACAGGAAGGTGATGTTTAGTTCCCACTTTGTAGTCCGCCTGTGTTTGTGTTTCATTATGCTGCGTGCTTGCAGCTTACTCTGAGAGCTTGCAGCCTTGTTTGCAACTGTGCGTGTTTACATTCTTGAACCTCAAATGTAAAAACCCTCATTAAGTGCTGTATCCGTTCTGTTAGCCTGATTTATGTATTTTGCTGGTAATGCACAATGTCAGAGTGACAGTTTCTTCCACTCGTGTTTTCTTTTGGAAGTTTCGAGTTAATATAAGTGGATTGCACTATTCACACATACGCCTTTTTTCCTCTTGTTTCGGATCCATTACTGCATCTCACTGTCAGTGTTACTGGTGACAGCAGGTCATCTGTTAAGGCCACCACCCTCTCCTGTCACTAATATGGTAATGTAGAGCTGCTGTAGATACTGTGTAGAGTTTCATAGAGATTTGAGTGAATTACCACACACTGTCTACTGACTGTGAGGTCAGCAGACCCTCAAGAAAGACAGATTGCCTACAGATTGTCTTTGAAACATGCCTTTTGGACCGGGTTTTTTAAAATTTTGATCTCTTAGCATGACAATCCTCTTGCAAGATTCTTCCTTACTGAATTATAATCACAGCAATGCAATTTAATCTTGAAAGACAAATTTACTCAGTAATTAAGTCATATTATAGAGACAAATTTTTTTTCAAAATGAAATATTTGGCTTTTATATTGTCACTGTCCTCACGCTACTGCACATTATATTATCTGTAGAATATTTACTTGGTATCAAGTTGACTGATTAGAGTAATGTTAGGTGTATAAGCATTTAAAATAATAATAAATAAAATAAAGACTTTTTTCCTTATTGTTAAAAATTAAAGTTAAAATACTTCAGTCAAAATCAAATTATTGTGATGCTCAGGATTTATAAAACAGCATAATGAAACTGTAATATCACATTTTGGTACATTTGTCAGGAAATATAAGTAAAATAATAAAATCTTAATATTTAATTTGACAACACCGAAAATACTAACCCCCAGTTTGAAACCCCCAGCTTTGGGTCATACTCTGTTCCTGCTTAGTGAATAAAAAAATCTTACACGGGATATTAACAAAACCGTTCTCTTTGTAAAGTGTTAAATTCTGAATTTTGCAACAAGATGGTGATGCAGTCTTGATTAAATTGGAAGTGTTTTTTCAAGTTTGTGTGAGTGACATAGCTCAGCAGAGGGATTATTTCAGGACAGTGTTAATGATCAGGTCAGTGCTAATGCCTGTGACGCGGCTTGTGGTAAAACCTTTAGTGTCTGTGCGGTGAGACAGCACCTTAGCTGATTAGCCGTTTCCACATTCCTCAGATTCCGGAGGCATTCCTGACTCTTCTGAAGAAATACATTCTTGCCAATTAGATAATGATCTTACATTAGAGCAGTGTCATGTTTCCTTCTAAATGAGCGGCTTTACCTGGAACTGTTTAGTGATGCTCCATTCTATCCAATCTATTTTTGTTGGCTGAAATTCATCTTAAATGGGTAATTCAGGGCTGATATTTTAAATCGTGTTGTACAAAATGTAAACATATGAAGGCAAAGATTATGAATAACACAGTACTTTCTCATTGCTCTGCACATGATGCACCAAGACCTATTCACTTTTTTTTTAGTTCAGCTTACCAGTGACATGCGTTCATTGCAAAAACATTTTATTCAACAATATAGTTGATTTTTAGGGATTTTAGTTGATTATTATTATGACGGTAAACAAATCAAATTCTGATCGATTGCATTTCTAGAATGGTTTTCATTTTTGCTTTCAGAGCAAAACTATGTTTGTGACTCCTTTGAGGTTTATTTTTAGATGCTTGCTTGTTTCATGACTCCGCTTGTGTACAACGTAGCTCTGACGTTTCCTCACCATGCAACATTGGAGACTTTAGTTCACTTCAGTTCAGTTAGCATTGCTCTGTTAGCCAGCTACCGAATGGGGTATGACTTTCATTCATTTGGCTCTATGCGAGCAAGATGTGAGATGGCACTGCAAAGTCAGCGTTATAGTCCTGCAGGGTATATTCCCAGATGGGACCTACATATGGATTAGTTACTGATGTCCTCAGAGGGGCGCTTGTTGTCCTATAGCTTGAATGTGTAGTAAGGAATCATTCGTAATAAGAGTGGAAACGTTTATTAATGAAGTATTAGGGCAGTTTTGATTTTTATTGCAACTTTTAGACATCTGTTTACAGAACTCTAGGTTTTAATTTGGGCAGTTATTCACTCAAAGGATGTCTGCGACTTGGAAGGCAGGATGCTATAGTCAGTGTTGCAGTTTTTTTGTCTGTAGTTCAGAGACAGAAAATAAATAACACACAACTGTGTTCATTTGTTTGGGAAGTTTGATCTGTACTGCACATCCCAGGCTGTACATCTGTACACATCTGTGAGTATATAAAGATAAAACCTGAAATAATGATTGTGCACTTACTGTAACCAATTTGTCTCTTTACAGTATTCCAGGAACAGTGCCCTGCAGCTTCCTTATTTAATATTAAAATAATATGCATTATTTTAAAAGTATTCAGTGTACCACCCAATATTTTAAGTATTGTAGATGTTGTGGTTGTAATGCCACTTGAAATAAGAACAAGTATCATCACTCAATTTTTTTCTCTTTTTTTTCAGTTTCTGGTTTTCAGCCCTGTATTCATAATTTTTGCTTTCAATTTCAGTATTCATTGTGGAAGCACCGTTTAGATTAACATTGCTTTTGTTGGTGTAAGTAAATTAGAGAAGAATGACAATGTGGCTATAAAGCCAAATTCAACCAAAATTTCATTGGCTGACCCCAACATGTATAATTTGTTCTTTTCCATGCAAATATCGTAAACGTGGATTGAAGCTTTTAAGCTTCAAGTAGGATGCACAAGCAACATAAACATATCATAAAAGTAGTCTGTATGACTTTTCGCTCTATATTCTAAGTGTTCTGAAATCGTACAGTAGCTTTGTATCATTAACAAACCAATATTTAATTGATTATTCATGTATTCCCCTCTAGTGTGCGCTTATTCACGCTTAGTGAATCATTTGAGTCAGTGAGTTGAACTCGAGAATTGGATGGTTCCAGTTTGTGAACTGGATATTACTATGTCTCTCATAAACTCATTAAAGTATCAAAGAAATCTAGGCTGGATTCCATTTCACATGTTTATTGCCTTGTGGTTGACAGGTCAAGTTTTTTTTTTTTTGACCCCCCCCAAATGCTATATAATGTTAAAGGTGTAGGTCACATGAGCGCGCAAAATAAGGTCCATTTTAAGGAGTGTAGATGCATGAACACAGTAGTCAATTTCAAACAAAGCAGCTTCCTGTTGGTTAGCACAACATGATAATCTGTGTGGGGAAAGTTTGTCATTTTCATTTAAAACTCCCAATTGCACAGATTTCTATTGGAATGACTGGCTTTTGCCGGTGAAATTTCAAAGAGAAGCAGTAAACGTTGCGCGCACCTTAAGCAATAGTCGCATAACCCCGTATCATTAGTCTGGTTTCCATCCAAAGTTGCGAATTTAACTTATGCGCAAAATTGGAATATCGCATAAAACATTTGCGAACAAGCACTGTTTCCATCCAACGAGTCAGAGAGAACAAAATCGTAATTTCCTGATAAACTGGCACTAAATATCACTAAGAAAATTAAGAACGGTGACTATCTGCCCCACCCTCACCGAATATAATTATTCTCAAATATAATAAAATACTTGCGCTTTGAGTGAGCAGACGTAACACAATAAATGCGGTCTTGCTTTTGGAGGTGAATGTCAGCTGTTTGGGAACGCAGTCGTGGTAGACCATTCTGGGAGGCAGTTATACAGAAATACTTTGACGACAGACTTTGCTCGGGCACTTCAGAATGACCATGACAACATTTCAGATGCTGTGCAACTAAATTGGTCCGCTGGTTAGTCAGGTTATGCTGTCCCATAGTGCAAAGTCACATGACTTTTTTGAACGCTCATGTGGGATTTATTCGCAAAATGCGTTTCCATCTCCCATTATTTGCATTAACCCTTTTTCGCACAAGTCAAAAACCACCTCAAGCGAGCGTAAAAACTTTTTTGCGAATTAAGGGATTTCTTTTCGAAATTTTTCGAATCACTCGTTTCCATCACTCTTTTCTCATGCGATACTTCAAAATGCGCATTAAAACAGGGTGATGGGAACATAGCTATTGATGCTCTTAGGTTGAAGTGGCTAGAGGAAGTAATGGAGGCACCAGTGCTTTTTACATTGAGTCATTGGGTAGTGTTTAAATAGAACTTACTCTCAGCTTCCTCTTGAACAGTGTGATCACAAGGGTGTCCATTTCATTGTTCTGCTCAGGTGTTTGTTGTTGGTAGGGTGAATGTAGGCTATATTATGGAATGGCTGGAGGGTCTGAACTGTGACTATCTGCCCCACCCTCAACACGAGCCATCTATTGGTGTCAGGTATAAGTGGGTGGGTGGGGTTGTGTGTGTGTGACCTACATCTACAGCCATGCAGAAGTAATGCCGGTTGCATGTGGAACTGTGACATGCTGGATGTGATAAGAGCGTGGCTGGAGCTTCTCATGGGATGAGTGTCTGAGAGGGGAAGAGAAGCAGACTGTCGCATACGCTCACATAGAAGTCTGATGGTCTTTTTGCGGACAGTCATTGTCAGTGACACTGAGTCAGACACTGCTCTGTATTTTTTTTTTTTGCTTTAAGAAGTGTTTAAATATTGTATTTTTAACACTTTTAAGATCTTAGCGGCCATTCACACAGAAAGAGTTCTTGTTTTTCAAAGTTGCACTTTTTAGAACTTGATAGTGCATTATAAAAACACAGTGCTCTTGTGAGATGACCTCAACAGTC